TGAGCTTCTTTCTCGGTTACCGATACATTCCGTTGCCGGATCTGACCACCATCTGCTTCACTCGTGTGGTGTGGACTGTTCTCTTCGGAATCATCATCTATAAGGAAAAACCATCCGCAGCGATTATTTTGGCAATTCCTCTTACCATTGTAGGAGTGACATTAGTGGCACAACCAACATTTATCTTTTCATCACAGAAACAAAAACAATTTTTTCCAAATCTAACCATAAACTCGACAGAGGTTTCATCATCATCGACTAATCAACGTCGTCATATTGGTATTTCTATTGGGCTGATGTTTGCTATTGCATCATCCATGCATATTCTCTTATTTAAACAACTGATAAATTTAAAAATCAAGCCGAGTATAGTAATGTTTCAGTTTACGATCATCGTCTTATTCTTGCTAATCATAAATCAACTTTATAAGTACTTTGTACTGGGGAACAAATTATTTCTTCAAGTGATATTCACGTGGAATTACGTCTTGGCATCGCTCATTTGCTTAGCTCAAATCGGTGCATCTCTGCTGGGACAAAAAGCCATCAAACGTGAAAGTCCTTCGATTTTGACGATTGTATCTAGCAGCGATATTATCTATTCAATTCTTCTGCAGAACTTGTTTACCAGGTTGAAGTCGAACTTGTACGCTCTGTTAGGGTCTGCGTTGGTCATATCCAGTGTATTGATGATCGGAGCCCATAAATTCATGCAAGAAAAAAGAAAGAACAGGTTGCTATCAGTACCTCAAATGGACACCACAGTAAAGCACTAGTTAGGAAATCGAGAGATTTTAGTGTAGTTTTAAAGTTCTTACCTTAAACAAGCAAATAAAGTTTAAATTTTTTCGAAATATCGAGCTCGATCGGGCGAGACAATCTTCTTATCACGTGTCATCAAGAGAAGGACTACTTTTCTTAAAAGAAATTACCGTCTTCAATAGATTTACATTTTGGCTGTACTGCCATCTGTCGAAAAAATTGAAGTACGGTAACGACTAAGTAAACATTTTCCACCCTAAACATTGTGCTTCTCTGATCCTAGTTTTCTGAATGTTTATTTCGTATGAGAAAACAACAGGTTTTTGTAATGTACTGATCATGGTTCTCATGTATTTGTATTATCCATCGTTTCTAATAGGAATTTGGAACAAACGGTCCGTTGACAATCTGCTCTTTCTTGTAATCAGACCTTTAAATCATAAAAAATAAAATTTACTCTGTCTAACATGCACATATTTTATCATAATCCCTTTTCCTTCTCTTTAGAGAGAATTTGAGTTGCTTTCAATTCTTATTACATTTCTCGTCGTTTGTATCAAAGCTAAGTAGTTATCAGCATCGTTTATTCTGAGAACTCTTATTAAAAATACACTCCTACGTTATCTTGGCAGTTCCTCCCATTGTTTGTTCTTCATCCTTTTTCTTAATCGTTCAAAGTCAAGTTTGATGATTCACCCACACGATTAATGCGTTTTTCGTTAAAGAAACAACTCAGAATGTGATGAAAATAAAATGCCAGCTTTTTTCCATGCAGGTTTTGCTCCTAGCGTGGTTAACAGAATGTACATGAAATTTTCCGCGCGTGGTGAGCACTGGTGGTACGAATCATTAGAAACAGTGTCTATCATCCATCTCACTCAAAGAAAGAAAGAGACAGTTATGTTAATAAACGAACACCAACAAGTTTTCTCTGATTTTTTAGTATAACGAGTGATTGAAAGTTAACAACAGCATCTGTATAAAGTAAGAAGTAAAACCTCATAATGGAAATCCTAAGAAAATAATAAACTCTGATTTAGTCATTAAAATGTCATTGTCGTCCTCATAGAACTGACAATTTGATTAAAAGATCTAACAACAATCATATCCTCTCTAGCTCACATGCGTTATAATAAATAGAAAAAAAGATCTTTTTCTTCTTCATAATTGACATAAACGTAAGAAAAGTAATGTTCAAATTGCAATACGCGCTACTGCATGCAAGGAGATTCTCTGATTATGAAGCGCGAAGTTTGACGTTTGAATAGGAAAAATGTGACATATTCTCCAACATAGTACTCCTCTTACTAACGCTTCATAGAAAAAGTGCTAGATTACTATGGAGCTCTTTAAATGAAGGCGATATTTATCATGTACAATATTTTCACACAATGCTCGTTAAGTTTTTCTCTGTTAACGTTGTTCAGGTTATGTTCAGTTTTCTTTTTTTGTTGATATAGTTAGATCATCTTCTTTATCCATTTATATTTGATCATATATAATAACATAACATAGAAATGATGAAATTGATTGATACTTATTTATTTTCATTCTTTGATAGTTAAACTTGCTGCTTGATACGATTGGGGTTGTAAGATGATGTTTTTGCTTTGCTCACAAGAATATCACCTGTCTGTTATTTTATTTGCATAAGAAAATAATGTTATAATCTTTCTTTGTTTCATTCTAAAGAGAAGAAAATACTAAGTTATCTGCATTCACAGAGTTTCTGTACCTGTAAATTGAAGCCGAATCACAGAGTAAAACTTGTCGTTTAAGGATGCTGCAAGAAAAAAACAGACTGAAAGAAGCACCAACTATAATGTAAGACATTTTCAGTGGATGTACACTGAAAAAAAGCCGAAAACGCGAAAAATCATCTTTTCCACTGATTAGACATTTGTGGTAAAAATGTTTTCGATAATATTTGCGCTTGTGTATTCCGTCCATCAGAAATGTGACGATGCTACGTTTTTGCTGTGATACTTTATCCATTGTATTGGACTGACCAAAATTTCTTCTAGTTGAAGTCATTTACACGTTTTTAAGAAGTAAATCAGAGAAAAAGTACAGGTCTAAGTTATGTTTCTTTATGTTAGATGTAAACAAACGCGTTTCTAATGAGAAAATATAGTAGAATGACCTTGAATTGAATGAGATTAACTGCAGTTTCATTTTCTATTGTCTTAGCTATCAACAGCTCCCATTCATGATTAAAAGTAAATATATCCATTACACTTGTTTATTTATGGTTGTGTGTTTAGATGAGATATGATTTGGGACGAAATGAGCGTATTGATTCATTCCTGTCATCTGATGATCGACTTCCCGGTGAATCTATGCTTAAGAAAATTACGGGATACGGCGGAGACAATAGAAAGCAGGTAATAAAATTCTTTTATTTTTTTAAATATATCAACTATTTGTTTCTTATTTCTATTTCTAGAATTTACGTCAGTATTGGATTCCCGATAGTGTCGGCAAAGAATGCCATGACTGTGGCGAGAAATTTACTCCGTTTCGTAGAAGACATCATTGTACGTATTCACAATTTCTATGAGACTGAGTGTTACAGTCACACCAGTTCCATGGTTGCACATTTTGAAAGAACAGGAAGCAAAAGTGGCCGACTTAGGGAACATTTCAAAATTCTTGCCGTTCTCTCTGCCGCTCTACCGTTCTGCCGCGGCACAACGGATTTATTTTAATGACATTTCGATATATTATCAGTTTCTTTTGATGTATCTATACGTATACACGAAATTTTTTTGCTATTTCTTTTCAATAATCTTAAACCGTAGACTATTCATTTTCTCGGAAAAGAATGAATTTTAAACTTTAGAATAAAAATTTCTTTACGTAGGTAAATTTATTCAAATTCTCTCAACTTGACTAATCAAAATAATGACAATGATTAAATATTAATGTGACAAACGTCTTAATTAATATTCAACTGAAAGAGAACGTCTTCTTCGTTTTAACATTTTATTGGCTTGAGTTGAAGATCTTTTGAGTATCTGTTTTGGTGTATGTATCCACTGATTATGTCTATCTTCATCTGCTTTCGATAGAAATATGTATGGCAATTTGCATTTTGAACATTTGACTTTTGGTGCTGTTATTAAATTTTCATCTGGATAAAGATTTTTTTCACCCGATAATATTGAATATGTCCTTTGTAAAAACGTATCGTAATGTTTATTACTAAATGTCATTGTTGGCCAAGGGATATATCCACCACCAGCACGAAGTAAAGATATTGTTTTTGTAGCACGAATTGGATAACGAGGACAATGTACACAATATTTATCATCACATTTAATAAACGACGTATAATATGTGGAACGAACACAATGACGAAGATAAAGTTGTAAACTAAATTGTA